GACGGGGTTGAATCCCCAAAACAAAAAAAAAAAAAAAAAAAAAAAAAAAAAAACCAAAAAACCGACAACAACAAAAAAAGAATTTTTGCTTTGCTTGCATATAAGTAAGACAACTAACTTATAAATAGAAACTTCTGCTTTTTTCTGTCTTTCATATTTGTCAAAACCACAAGTTCACTTTGGAAAGTTTGAATGTCTCTCTCTAACGTTTGACACAGTTTACTAGATTTGTAGCCTCACAATTTCACATTCTTTGACCTCCATTGAACTTTAAAGCAAAATCAGACCAGGACTGGGATGTAGCTCAATAGCTAAGTGTGCCCCAGCACTGAAAAAAAAAGTCAATAACTTTGCTACTTTTGAGTGGTATGAAGTGCCTTTTCCTAACTGAAAAACAGTGAATACAGAAATGTACATGGATTGTGAGCAGGCTGGATCTGGGTAGTTGTGCATGTGTTCAGACAGTGCTGCTGCTCCCTTATTCATTCTTCTAGTTTTCATTATTCTTCTAAACTAAGATTGGACTTAGTAGCAAAGACAAGTTTTCCTTCTGGAAGACATGGCAGTGTCTTCCCTGCAGCATGCATCCAAGTCCTCATTCTCTCAGTTTCAGACGTTGTCAAGGTCAAGGCAATTAGTACATCTAATATCTGTCGATAACTTGCCAATACATGTGGCATTTCTTTTTCATTTTAGGTGACCTCCGGGGGAACAGAAAGCATCCTGATGGCCTGCAAAGCTTATCGGGACCTGGCGTTAGATAAGGGGATCAAAACTCCTGAAATGTATGTATGACTGTTTCCCCCTTTGAGGTTGTCCATATGGGGTACTGCTGTGTGGAACTGAGCCTGATAATCTGTTTGCCTGCTTCTCTTCCTTAGCCCTTGCTATTCTCCTCCTGCCCTGGTCCCTCTGCCCTTCTTAATCTTTCACTTCAGCAGAGTTCTAGTGGATAGGCCAGTTATCCTTATGGACCATTTCCAACCCTGCAAATTTATATATAGTGTGTATTACAAGCAAAAATGAGATTCTCTTTCCAAAAGCGACAGAGTTAGAGGACTATGTTATGTCTTTGAGTCTTGTGATTTAATTTAATTTAATTTTTTTCTTTTTCTTTTTTGATTCTTTGGACAGGGACTTACTATGTAGTTCAGGTGGGGCTTGAACTCAGAGCAATCTGCCTGCCTCAGTCTCTTGATTGCTGGGATTTTAGGTATGCACCACCATGCCTGGCTTGTGATTTAAAAAAATATATATTATAAGTATTTTGGAGCCTAAGGGAAAGTGTAGTTGTCTTTGGTTTAGTGAATTTCTTAATATTGTATGCTGCATTGGGGTGCTCCCTGGGAAACTTTCAGTCTGAGGGCTGTTTGAAGGGGGGAATATTTAAAAAATCTCTTTGAGACTTGTCCTTGTTGCTTCCTATGGGCATAATTTTGGTGGCTGGTTGCATTTTCTTCTCTAGACTGTTTCCTGTACAGTGTGCTTATACTATACCTTTTGGGTTAATGTTTTCTACAGCAGTCAATGACTAAGATGTTGTAATTGCTTGTGGCCTCAGGCTGTGACTCATACTTCTCCTATGAGAAGAAATCAATCTACCGTTTTTTGCTTCCTATATAAATGGTGCTTGGAGCTCACAATAGATTTTTTTCCCTCCTATAAAAAGAACAGAATAATTTAGAGGGTGGAGTAATTGGGGGAAGTATGAAGGCAAGTATGTACCTGTGACACTGTTTCCTCTTTCCACACTATTTGAAATACTGCTTCTAAGTGTGTAGCAGAAATGTAGATTTTAGTTTCTCATAGACTTTTGATCTTTCAGAGTAGGAGGGCCCATTGACCTGATGCCTGAGTGCTGTGTTAATAGTCCTGCCAAAAGCCCCACATTCCTGTTCGAACACGTATTATGTTGGAAAGTGCTACCTTACACTGCTATGATCCATTTCCTGTCCCTGGGCTTTATCCTGGCAGACCTAATTTATGCTTTGGATCCCTCTAGATTGAATTACTTCTGAGTTCTTGTTCCCAAATGATTTCCTAAATAGTAGGGAGAAGGTTTCTACAGAAAGCTAGCTGGCTTCTTTTTGTTTACAGTTAGAAATGAAAGTGATGTGAACACTTAAAATAATTAGAGGAAAAAATAATCAGAAGTTTACTCCTGAAGGTTTAGATGATCTGCTAACTTTATACTTTCTTGAGCCCACTTTTGGTCTGAGTTCATTATTTTCCTCTTCCCCATCATCTAGGGTGGTTCCCAAAAGTGCCCATGCTGCCTTTGACAAAGCAGGCAGTTATTTTGGGATGAAGGTGGTGCGAGTCCCACTGAACAAGATGATGGAGGTGGATGTGCGGGTAGGTTCTCTGGAGGCAGAGAGATGGAACGTGTGCCACATTGACTACCTTTCCCGTCCCCCGTGGGTGTGCTCCAGTGCCTTGGGCTGTAGTAGCCAGATCATGTAGCCCCCAACTTGGGATGCTGAAGATCTGTTTTTACTTTCAATAGCATCGTCCCCCCCATTTATAAAATGAGCATTAATGAACTTGCTCTAAGATTCAACTGTGGTTTTGATTGACCTGAATCAATATCATTGTTATAATGGTAATTGTTTTTACACCTCACATTTTTGCAGAAGAACTTGGTAATTTCAGAGTGTTACCAGAATCACTTGAACATTAAGACAGTCCCTGGAGGTTGTCAGTACTGTTAACATCATTGCATTTCACAGATGAGGTTGAGCCATTCACTTAGGGTCTCAGTGCCAGTCGGCTGAGTCTTATATTTGTTTCTTGCCACTTAGGTCAGTAGTGCCACCCACCCCCCGCCCAGTGGTTGTATTATGCTTATTTTGTGGTCTCTGTTTTCACAAATGAGCCTGTCTGGAACATCTGTGTCCTGCCCCATGGTGAGGCTGTCTTCTCCTAGGCTTCTGTGATGCAGTGGACCTGGAACTCTTAAATTAGTGGCCCTGACTGCTCTCAGGCAGCAGAAGTGAATAACTGTGACCTAGATGCTCATTTTTCTCCTTTGAACTTAAATCCCTAGGCCATGAGAAGAGCCATCTCCAAGAACACTGCTATGCTCGTCTGTTCTGCGCCGCAGTTTCCTCACGGTGTGATAGACCCGATCCCAGAAGTGGCCAAGGTAATGAGACAATTGGGCCACTGTGGCAGTCAGAATGAGATTTTAAAATCGAATTTAATAGTGCAGTACCTGGCAAATAGATACAGTTTTGAATTTTAGGTTTAACCTTAGCAGTGATGAATAGCTCTCATCAGCCCTAGGGTAAGCCCTGCAGCTCTGCTTAGAGCCTTTGAAAGTCACTAGCTTGTGCTTTGGGAAAGGGATAATATGAAACTAAGTCTTATCTTGTCTTTTTTTTTTTGGTGTAGGGGATCGAACTTGGGACCTTGTGCTTGCAAGGCAGGTGGCAGAACCACTGAGCCAAATCCCTGGATCCCTAAGTCTTGTCTTTTAACTAGATATTTTGGAATGATACTGACTTTTAGGTTCAGACCAGGAAGAATTGAGCACCTAGGAATGTGCAGGAGACTGCGCAGCACTTCCCCACCCCTTGCAGGGACTCACACAGGACCTTTCCCTCCACTGTGGCTGCCTGCATTGGAGCTCTGCTCACTGCCCACTTGATGGTGCAGGGAATTTGAGGCCATGCACATTTAAATAAACTAGATATTGTAACATAGACGGATTATTTTGAAGGCTAAATACAACTGAAGGATAATCTTTCTTAGGAATGTCAAAAATAGCCAGTTTTTAACACATGGGAGAGATAATAGGTTCAGAGTAGGTTTGTGTTGATAGCCAGCATTTCTTCCATGTCCTGCAAAAGTTTTTATTATAGGGCTGTTAAATGAAATTCTGTTTTGTCCTTTGTTTTTTTGAACTAGATGGCTGTCAAATACAAAATACCTCTTCATGTAGATGCTTGTCTGGGGGGTTTCCTCATTGTCTTTATGGAGAAAGCAGGATACCCACTGGAGATACCGTTCGATTTCCGTGTAGAAGGTGTGACCAGCATTTCGGCCGATACCCATAAGGTGAGCTAAGGAGGAGATAAAATGCTGACAGTCGGTTATTTTAACTGTAGCCCACAAAATAAGTTGGCTATAGCATTAGCTCCTCCAAAGTATAAAATTAAAGCTGGCTTTTTTCTCCCACATCATCGGCTGTTCAAATGATGGGATATAGTGGTATAGTGACAAGGAGGCTCTTAACTTCATCTCATTGGCTGCAAAAATCACCCAGTTATCCTGATGGCGTTTAGCTGGAGCCTGCTAGCCTAAGGTCTTTATGACAAAGTCTCCTAAAGCCTGAGCTTGATGAGGTGGCTGGGGAGAAGTTGAGGATTGATCTTGGAATTCAAAGAGAGCAGCTATTGATACCACTGCTTCTGTGCTGCTGGGGCCCCAAGGCTGTGCTCAGGGATGTTTGGCTTATGGTGTCTGAAATGTCTGTGTCTGCCACCACTGATGGACTGAGATGAAGTCCAGATCATTTGGAAACTATTGACAATATATCCACATGAAATAGTAGTATTTGAAGCTTCAGGAATGTGTGCCTTCTTTTGTTTTTGAGATACTGGGCATTGAACACAGGTCCTTTGCATGGACCTGTATCCCCAGCCCATTTTTCATTTTGTGACAGGGGGTCTCTAGGTTGCTTAGACTAGGCTTGAATTTGTGATCCTCTTGCCTCAGCCTCTCAGAGCACTGGGATCACAGATATCACTATCATGCTTGGCTATGCGCACCTTGTTTGATTGTTTTTCATAATTTCTTTTGAGCTAGAGCCAAGACTTGTTTTTTAAACACTAAATGATCTGCAGTAAATTTTTATTCAGAATCTATTTTGCCTTACCACCCAGATACTTCCTGTGTTCTTTTCCCTTAACCATTATGTCTGTATGGGTCTAGGAATGAAATTAGAGTTCATGTTAGCTTCAGTTAGAGTTAATTAGGAAGTCCCATTTTCTGTGAGGAAACCAACTGCACAGTTTATCTTCATGATGAAGTTGTCTTTGGATTCTGAGCACCATAATATTCTTACGAAGATATGTAATACTGAGCAGAAAAGATAGGAGAGGGTCACACTGTGATGTTAGTTGCTCCAAGTGGCTTGGATTCCATTCTTGCCAGGCTTGCAGATTTTCCACCCTGATTTACCACCCCGAGAAAGATTTTAAATAAGGAAAACCTCATGTTGGAAGAGAGAGGAAAGAAAACATTACTGAGCAAGATGCCATTCTTCCCTGGGCCTCAGTCTCCTAACCCATGAAAGAGAATCTAAACTCTATCCCTTAAGTTCCTTAACGTGAGTGGAAAACATCACCATGATCTAATAAGTAAATGGCACGCTCTGGGCCAGGGTCTGCCAGACAGAGCCACATTCTCACCTGTTTGCTTCTCTCCCAGTATGGCTACGCCCCTAAAGGCTCGTCAGTGGTGTTGTACAGTGACAAGAAATACAGGAAGTACCAGTTCTTCATTGGCACAGATTGGCAGGGAGGCATCTATGCTTCCCCAAGCATTGCAGGCTCACGGCCTGGTGGCATCATTGCAGCCTGTTGGGCCACCTTGATGCACTTTGGTGAGAACGGCTACGTTGAAGCCACCAAACAGATCATCAAAACTGCTCGCTTCCTCCGATCTGAGTATGTATGGAACACAGGTTCTGTTTTGCCTCTTGCCTTTTCCACTAGTCAGCCTTTCAAGGCATGTGCTTCACTGCATGCGTATAACCCTAACCCGTTTGCTACCACCTGAGAGACCAAGGGTTTAGGACAGTGCCTTAGGAGTTGGTGTCAGCAGGAAGAGAAAGTTCCCTTCTCTGCAGGAGACAGGAGTTGGGTAGATGGGAAGAAGCCAGTGGTTCTGATTTTGTTAGGTCTGGTTGGGGTTTGGATCTTGGGATATTTCTAATGTCTGTCCGTCTTAGCCTACTTAGTGTTGAAGTTGAGAAGACTAAAACCTCAGAAAGCTAGATTGGTTTTAAGGAAGGTTAGATTTGGATTAAAGGGATGTTGACCAGATGTGGCTGAATTTCCTTTCTGTTTGTGTTTTCAGACTGGAAAATATCAAAGGCATCTTCATCTTCGGGGATCCTCAGTTGTCAGTCATTTCTCTGGGCTCCCGTGATTTTGACATCTACCGGCTGTCTAACATGATGACTGCTAAGGGGTGGTACTTGAACCAGTTGCAGTTCCCACCCAGGTATGCTTGAAGGAGCCCCTGTCTTCCCTCTGTCCATGGCTTTGCAGAACATGGGGAGCAAGGTAACCTGATGCACAGAGTTTAACTGGTAGGACCCAGCTATTCAGTAGCAACTGTATTTGTAAAGTTTCTTTCTGGCCACCTAGAATAATTAGATGTAAAGAGCAAGACCATTAGAACCTCTGGGAGAATGAAGTGCCAGTCTCCTGACATCAGTGCTTATTTATAAGATTTCATCCCCATTCTCTATCTTCTGTAACTCTCCAGTCATTTTCTTTCTTTCTTGTCTTCTTTTTCTTTTTCTTTTTTTTTGGTACCTGGGTCCTTGTGCTTTCGAGGCAGGCAGCAGAACCACTGAGCTAGATCCCCAGCCCTCTCCAGTCCATTTTCTACACAGCCATCCAACTGCTTATATTGCAAAACCCTCAAGAGAAGGCTGGGCGTGGTGGCGCACTCCTGTAATCCCAGCACTTGGGAAGCTGAGGCAATAGGATCGCTGTGAGTTCGAGGCCAACCTGGGCTATATAGGGTCTCAAAGACACAAAACAAAACAAAACAAAAAACCTTCAAGAGGGTGCCTGAGGATTCAGGCCTGCTGTTGGGTTTTTTCAGTATGCTTTTCTAACTGAATCTTCTAAATCCTCCACTCCAGCAGAGTGGGCCAGTTCAGCATCTCTTATGTAACAACTTACCTTTGCATAGATTGCTGCTATTGCCAGCCCCATCTGGACTTTGCCTTACCCTCTTCACAATTCTCTATACTCCATCTTCTCCCCAGGGCAAATTTGTTTCTTCATTGCCTTCAAGTCCTTCAAGGCCCCAGCCACATGGCTCTTTCTCCATGAGGGCTTATTATCTAAGATAAAAGCATCCAATTGGTGGTCACATGGTTGAAGGAATTGTGATTGGCAGTTATGAGAGGCGGGACACAAAATAAGTCAGCGGTGTTCATTCTCTTAGGGTGGTTCCTGATCATGCTGAGAATCCTGATACCTGCCCATGCGTGGCAAAACCAGTATTGGAGAGCCCTGATTCCAAGAACTGGATCAGTAGAGATAATCTGAAGAGGCAGCCAGTAAATTGGGGACTGCTTTATTTTAAACACTTTTTCTGTTTTCAGGCTTCATCTCTCTTTCTTCTTCCATAGTATTCATATCTGTATCACATTAGTACATACCCGGAAGCGAGTTGCAATCCAGTTCTTAAAGGACGTCCGTGAATCTGTCACCCAAATCATGAAGAACTGTAAAGCAAAGGTCACAGGAATGGTAAAGACACTTGGAGATTTTTTCCCCCTTTAAGTGTTGGTGTGGGAGTTTGAAAGAATCAGACAATTTGGAGGTTGTTCTTGCCTGAGCCCATTATCTACAAACCTCTCCCTTTGTTAATTTATTGTTGCCACTGACCCCTGCCTCACCCATCCCTAGAGTTGATGGGCATGTCAGATGAGATCTCTTTAAAGCACCTGATAAATCTGAAACTGCTGTCCAAAAGTAGGTGGTAGTGTCCATTTGAAAAGAAATTTTTGACAGAAAAGACTATAAATGTATTTTTTCTGGATTTTTTTCCCAGCAAATTTCATAGAGTAGTTCCTTTATATAGAAAGGCAGACTGCAAAGTACCTGTGAAAACTGCTGTGCCAGCTGTTTTTCCTAATAGAATAAGACCTGGAGTGGGGAGAGGGCAGGGGTACTTAGCGTTGCACTTAGAAAGGTAGGACTGGGGAAGGAGGGGATCACAAGCACAGCTTTGTCCCTGTTTCTGTTCTTATCATCACTAATGTATCCTTGGTTGGCTTTGTAGGGTGCCATCTATGGCATGTCCCAGGCAATCATTGACAGGAACCTGGTTGCGGAAATCTCCTCAGTCTTCTTGGACAGCTTGTACAGTACGGATGCTGTAACCCAGGGCAGCCAGATGAATGGTTCTCCAAAACCTCGCTGAGCTTGGGCCTTTTCTAGGCCATCCCAGAGGGCTCCTGGCTTCAGAAGGTTCTCCGGGTATGGAACAGGCCACCCACAACTTCGACATCTGGTCTTGCTCCATAGAGCACGAAGATAGGCCATGTGACAGCTTGAGCCTCAGGATTCTTGTTTCTCCTTTTGTTACCTTTTGTGGTTTTAAATTTGAAGGCCTTGAAGGATTCTACTGCATTATGAACCTGCCCTTGTTATAAATGTAGTGGTAGGAATTGTTTTAACCATTTCCTTATCTAACTTCTCTTGTTTTTTTCTTCACTTCATCATTGTGTGGTGGCTCTGACATGTAGGGAAGCTATGAGATCCCAGAGGGTTTGTTACCCAAGCAGAGGCTTTAGCTAACAAAGTGGAAGGCATTTATGTAACATTTCCCTGAGTGGGTCTTTGGTGCATCGTAGGTGGGAAGCTTTTTCAGCCCTGTGCTTAGATTAGGACAGTTGTCTCTCTTAGAGTCACTTTTACTGAAACTTGCTGTGTTTTTCCAGGACACAGGTTGTCCATGTTGTACCCTGTGATGTGGAGGAGCGTGTCTACTCAGTAGCCCATGGCAGGGTTTGTAGTGCTTCAGTGGTCCTCATCTGTCCGTGCTTGCAGGCCCCATTTGATACTCAGTTGGAGTGTTTATTGGAAATGATGTTCCCATTACCTTGTTGTTTCATGGATAGGACGAGAATGTGGTTTGCAGAGGATCTAGGACTTTCTGGCTATGGTGCTGCCTCCTTGAATTGGCAGTGGCCGGAGTAGAGCACACCAAGCCCTCTCCTGGACCTACGATGAACAGACACCAGACCCTTTTCTGTACTTCCTGAACGTCAGCTTAGGTGACCACCCAGTTTCAAGTATGTGTCACCAGAGTTGGCGGTGGTCCTCTGCTCCCCATTGCCTTAACTCGTGTGATGAGAGTATGTTCGCTGAAGGAAGAGCTCAGAGCACCTCCACAAGTTGCCTTGACTTAGCCTGGGTGGGTGTGAGGAGAGTGCAGGGAACATTTTCCCTCCATTTGTGTGTTCTTCCTGCCCATTCTCCTTTGCTCAGTTTCCAAAGGTACTTTGGCAGGTTAGCCTCAGGTACTGGCCACACCTCAGTCCTAGCTAAAAGGGAGCAGTGTAGGATTAGATAAACATCTGGGAATGGATAGTACGGCGGTGAGCAGACATTATATGGCCCTGGGCCTGGGATTCCTTTGTAAGACTAGTTGCTCAGGGTGGTGCAGGGGCAGGACAAAATCCTGCACCCACTTCCTACTCTCTTCTTCATTTCTGGGGGCCTTGATCTAGGCTGAGCCACCGTTGCTCTCTAGTGACATTCCACGTGCCTTTCTCCACTAATAGTGAGCTCTTCCTGGTCTGGACCTTGGGGAAGCGGACCAGACTTTGAGGTTTCTGTGTGGGTTGGAGGGAACTTAGAACAAGTGAAGAGGAACTTTGCTCTGCTCCCCTGCCTTTCTCAGGGACTCCTGAACATGCAGCCTCTGCAGATGCTGTCATCTGGCCCCCTCGTGGGAGCCGCAGCCACCAGACTTTCCTCCAGGCTCCTAGCGTGTCTGCTGGGAGTTTCTTTAGCACTGTACTTCTTAGGCAGTAACTGACCATCACTGCAGAGCTCGTGTGGTACGTACGTGCCGTGTGCATCCCTGTGTTCAGCCGTGGTCGATGTATGTGTGTGTCAGGGAGAAGCTGAGACCTTTAGGACACGGGAATCATATGCTTCCTTCAGTTGCTGGACTGTTGGAAGAGACCTAGAGAACCAGAGCCACCAGCAGGCACCAGAATGGCTACTGGCTGCTAAAATAGAAGCCTGTGCCCTACAGCCTCCTCAGGACCAGACCCTGAGCACCTCACTTCCTCTGTCCTGTGACTGCATTAGTGCCAGGGGCTGATGGTGTTTTCAAAGGGACCTACAGTAGCCACTTTAATTTCTGATTGAGAGTCTTAGTTTGATTTAATGCATTTTTAGCCTTTTCATTTTATGTGTATTTGTGTGTGAAAGCACAGAATACCTGTTGTGACAAATAGGTAGGGTTCTTAATGGTATGATGTTGCTAGCAGATGTCGGATTGACTTCTGCACCCCATTTTATACTTGGAAGATGGTACTTGCCTCTTTTAAATCTTTTCTCTTAACTTCCTCCTCCCCATCTGCATGCTCCTTTCCTATTTGCAGCAATAATCTCTTTTAAAGCAATTAAATAAATGTCCCTAACTGTACTTACAGTGGATGGTTGCATTCATTTGCTTGGGCTGCCTATGAGATCGCCCCCTGCTGGGAGAATTGTTGCATTTGACCATTGATGCTAGGGCTGATGGACCCAAGCCGTCTTCAGTCCCGCTCATTTCCAGCACGTCGGTAGGTAGCTGATCACTCTCTACACCAGGAGTGCTCATTGTGGCTAGACTGGAATTCAGGGCGTTAGTTCCCCAGAAAAGGGATCCTGTCTTTCTTTTCCTGCCATCCTATGCTTGTAATTTACGACAGATTAAGCCATCTGGGTAGTCTTTATCCAGCCTGGCCTGTGGCTCTGTCTCTACTGACTTCAAGCCCAGCATTTGAGTGGGGCCTGGTAGAGCTGCTCAGATGATCTTCACATGCATAACTGCTGGGCATCTTGTTTTATTCTGAGTAAGAAAGCCAAGGTTCCCCACACGGTTGTTCAGGATCTGAGAGCTGAGAAGCTATGATGAAGGTAACCTGCTTTACATTCTGGCTTTCAGCCCTTTCAGGCTTTGCTAGAAAGTAGGCAGGGAATGCTGTCTTTGCTTTGTTTCCTGCCAGATGGCTTGGTGCCCTGAGCACCTGCACACCCTGAGAAAGAAAGGCCAGCATGTGCTTGCACTGGGAGGCTGGGCTGACCTGACAGGTAGCATTTGGGGTGCTAGTGGCTCCACCTCTGCTGTAGGCCCCTTTGCCTTCTCTGTGGGCTCTGGGCAGCACTGAGCAGTGTTTAGCTGGACCCACCTTGATAGAAATAATGACGGAGACCTAATTTGACAGCCACCAGTTCTAACCCAGGTGGGCAAAAGTCAGGCTTGGATGACCTTTTCTTGCTTTGAAGCCTTAATGGCCTTACTTCCACTAAGGCTTTGTCCTTGTCATAATCTCTTCTCTGCTTAATGTCCTCCCCAATAATTGCATTTATTTGGGTTAATTTTAGAATAAAGCTATTTATTTTTTAAAAAGTGTCACCCCTATCTTTTTCCCACATAAAGGTGTCTCATACAAATGACAAGGCTGGCATTTTTCACTGATTCATGGTAAGCAGCAGAGGCAGGGAGGCACCATGACAGAATAGTTCTTACCTCCAGGTCTGGTGTCTTCTGTTCTCAGTTTTTAGATCAGAGCACACTTAGAACAATTCAGGTTAGAAGTGGAGCAGGTGAGAGAGCAGAGTCTTACTGGACCTGACATTAAGCTCTGTAGAAAAATTGCCATCGACCTTAAGTATTGATTATCTTTTACCAGCATATGGGCCAGGCTGGGGTCCTGCCAGTCCTCTTGACAGTGTGCTTACTTCTCAACCATCAACCTCTGCCTCTTTTTTAAGGCCTTTGAGGGATCACCTCAGCCCAGCTGGCTGGGTTGTGACCTTGCAAGATGCGTGCTCCATGTGAGCCATTGCAAGTCACCTCCGGGCCCAGGCAGGGCTTTGGGCTAACGGTCACTGGTGAGAGCTGCTGGGAGAGGGGCTTCTTGTCTGCCTCGGGATGTGTGAGGTAGCATGTGTGTGGCAGCGGGGACTGCTGTAGGGAAGGCTTCTGTCCCAGAGCTGCTGGTTTAGGCTGAGCTGTGCAATGCAATCTCACTGCTCAGGCGGAATGAAGCCTGCCAGCCCCCTCCTGTGCTTCTGTCCTCTCTGTTTGCACAGAGTAAAAGCAGGTGAGCCCAAGACCTTTGCTAAGATTCTGAGAATGGCAGATACCATTAGGATTAGAAGTCTCCCTTCTGATGTTTAGGCCTGTGTATTGATCAGCGTTCTCCAGAGAAACAGCCAGTACATACGCCAAGGATGAAAGGACTTGTAAGGAATTGGCTCATGGGACTGGTCCCAAGATCTCTCTGTACTTGGCAAGCTGGAGACCCAGGAGAGCTGATGGGTATAGTTCTAGTCCAGGCGCCTGCAGCTTATAGACCCACAAAGTGCGGGTGTCTTAATTTGAATCTGAAGGCTGGAAAAAACTGATAGCTTAGCTCGGGGCAGTGAGGCAAGAGTTTACTTTTCTAGGGAAGGCCAGCCCCTTTGTTCTCTACAGGCCTTCAGCTGATTGGACGAGGTCCACCAACATTAAGGAGGGCACTCTGCTTTGCTAGGTACCGATTCATGTTGATCTCATCCAGAAATAGCCACACTGACACATCCAGAATAATGTTAGACCAAATATCCGGACACTCAGAGCCCAGTCAAATTGACACAAAATTAGTTGTAACTGTGCCAAGTATGGTGGTGCATGCCTATAAACCATGCCCCCTGAAAGAAAAAAGAGAATTGTCACTACCTGAAAAGAATATGGCCCCACACTCCCTTTCATGCCCTGTATGCCTTTCTTTACCTGTGTTTATGGTGCCCCCTCAGCCACCTTTGTCTCTCAAGAATCTTTTTTTTTTGTTTGTTTCTTGATACAGGGTCTTGCTATGTAGTTCAGGTTGGCCTTGAACTCACTATATATCCCAGGGTGGCCTAGAACTTTGTGGCAATCCTCCTGCCTCAGCCTCTCAAGGGCTGGGACTGGAAGGTGTGTGCCACCATACCCAGCTGCTTCTCAGGAATCCTGCTCAGGTCTTTGAGGTATGTAACTCAGAATCTCACTTGTCACACAAATCCCTGGGTTTCTCACCCTGCCATCAGCATTAACTTAATGCATCCTACTAATAGCTAACGGTTTTCCTGTCGGATTCCCAGATGAGCTCCTTCCCTTTCCCCGAGTACCTGGAATAATACCTTGTATAGAGTAAGTGCTTTCATTATTTTTTTTTTTTTTACTTGCTTGATTGGTTTTATTTAGTCACTCAAGAAAGAATAAGTTGTTCACAGAAATACACACTGTTGAAAAGGATGCCACGACTAAGGCTGGGCCATAAAGTGACTCGATCCAGTTGTCCTTTGAGTTGAGCATCTGGCTGTAACCTCAGTCGACAGCTGTACCACTGAATGCGCCTGATCTTGTCTGATTGTACCCCAAACATTCCATTGGAAAATTTATGGGCAGCGTATGTATGCCAAATGAAAGTGCAGTTGCAAATATGCCAAAAAATTGATAATTATTTTCAGACTTTTGAAACCTATCTCAAACACCTGTGTCCAAACAAAGGAAGGCTGCATAATTCCCACTGTTCCCAGGACTGGTTAGCCAGTTTATCAGTTTGTCATAACTTGAACTTACCGTACTGTACATTTCATTTTGTACACTAGTAAGTGCAAATAATTTGACTTTCACCTTGACATGTTTATCCTATTTAAATGAGTAGTCACATTTTTAAAAAATGCTAAACTGGTGAGGAATTTTTCATCTTCGGGTTCCTTGATTCTGCAAATGATGATAGCATTTTGCAATTACCAAAATCTTTTCAGCAGTTTACTCCTGCTTGGCTCCCTCACTTCAAAAAATTAAATGATGTCTCCATAATCAGCATCCTTCCTCTTAAGGAACTTGTGGCTATGATTCCATCCCTAGGGCCTTAGGAAATTCATAGCTTTGATGACGATTTGCATAACATCCTTTTTTTGTCATTGACAATACACAGGTCAGGCTGGTCTTGAACTATCTGAACTCAACGGAGATCCTTCTGCCTCAGCCCACCCCCCACCCCCAGTACTAGGATTACAGGCATGCACTACCACGCCTGGCTCCCATAACATCCATTTTTAAAGCATTCTCACATGAATTTCTTTGATGTAGGGTGGGTGCAGCTCTATTTCATTAAATGTGACTTGCCAGCAGCAAATGCATCATCTATTCATTTATAAATCCCTCTTTTTTTTTTTGAGACAGGGTCTGTGTAACCCAGGCTGGCCTTGAATTTGTGGCAATTCTCCCAAGTGCTGAGATTGTAAGCATGCACCACCACAGCTAGTTTAAATCCCTCTTTTTTACCAACCCTCACAGGGTACCACTATGGCTATACCACATATATTGACAAAGTTTGAAGAAAAATCAGTTATTTTTACTGCTTCATACAAATAAAGAGATACAGCTGTATATTTATTATTTATATATATTTCTATATTTATTATTTTTTTTTTGGTACTGGAGATTGAACTCGGGTCCTTGTACTTGCAAGGCAGGCAGTGGAACCATTGAGCTAAATCCCTGGTCCCTAGCTGTGTCTTTTAATGGCACCAAAGTCATTTCTTCAGTGACATATTCATAATCAATACTGCTAACTGAAAACGGCAAGTTGAATCATGTCTGTCACATCAGCACTTTCGACTGTTACCAAAGAACAAAGTTTCAAATTAGCAGCTTCACTCTTCAATCTTTTTCAGTAGATTTCCCCATTTCCTCATTTCACCTGGCTGTAGTCTGGTGAGACAGACTGATTTAGAATAAGCATGGTGCCTTGCTTCTCCTGACAACAAAGCACTCCTGTTTTTCATTGATCTCTTCCATCTATTTTTCTTTTTTTGGGTTCTGTTTTCTTTTGAGATGATGAAGCCACGCTTCCTGAGGATGACGGCAGGACGAAGCTTCGGTGGCACTCACCCGGGGCCAGGCTTCGAGGGCACTAATGTGAAGTGCTATCATTGAAATGCCTGTGGGCCAGAGTGTAGCTCAGTAGCAGAGTGCTTGCCTAGCATGTGCAAGGCCCCGGGTCCAGTCCTCAGTAGTGAGCGTGCATGCACCCACCCACACAAGGCTAATTGACTAAACTGACCTGTGGGAAAGAAGTTTCTAGAGCTTGAGACCTTGATACACTCGTTTTATTGGTGACATAAAAGCACAGGTTTCTGAGACATTGGGTGGGATTCGCGTTAGGGTCCTGGGTTCTAAGATAGGACCTTCACCCTTCACAGATGTTTGGGAAATGAGTTAGAGAGCAAGACCCAGCCAGGAAAGAACACCATTCAGGATGCCAGGAAGTTGCAAAGAAAGGAAAAGCTTATTCAAAGCGTAGAAGTAGCCCCAAGGATGAAGAGAGTGCTCAGGGAAAAGGGCTCAGCTGCTGGCATTGGCAGTGATGATGCTGGCATCTGCAGCAAGGACTTAGCCCTAAATGGAGGCGGCAGGGTCAACACGCGGTTCTGACTCAGTTCCCTCCTTGCCTCCAATTCTGTCACCCCCTTCCCCGGGAATGCAAGGAAAGGTGGGGCCTATGTCATGGACACTGCTACTTGTTCGATGAAGCTGGCCAGGTTTATGTCTCGTTCTGAAAGGCCCGCACATTCATGGGTGCTCAGAGTGATGTGCACCTGAAACAAAAGCAGAAGTTCAGGGCCTGCCGACCAACTTTGCTAAAGAGTGGCAGAGGATCCCTAGCTATTGGGCTCTGCCCCAGGAAAAGCTTCAGAATAGCAGATGATCATTGACAGTAGCTGACCACTGGAATCTACTGGGGACGGTAGCCGGTCACTACTGTGGTGCTCTCTAGGGAAGAGTAGCTGGTTGCCACCATCTGTCCTGGGGTGTATCTACCAACTGGTCTGTATCTGCTACACCTCCCCTTGATGTGACTTCAGATGTCAAGAGCAACCTGAAAACTAAAGGCAAACCCAAAACCACTGCTGACTGCTAACTACTGTCTATTTATAGATAGCTTCTTTTCACATTTTTATAAACAGTCCAGTGGAGCTCCTGGCACATGGCAGTCATGTAATGACCATTACTCAGTTCACTGAGCAGACAGTCTGTTTGCTATGCACAGATATTCTGAGTTCCCAGTTCTTATTTCATTCTTCCTTCTGGAAAGATAGCCATTTAGAGCTATTAACAATGAATAAGTATGTCCTATTCCCACAGCATTGCCTGTCTTGGCTTTTGACTTTTTAGTGTCTACCTTAAGGCCACATATCTCAGTGTTTTAATTTGCATTTCCTTAGTTTGTAGTGAGACTGCCAGGCTGGGAGGGGTGTTTATGTTGGGTCGAAGGAGATGAACCGAATGAACAGGTGAGGCAGGCCCACGGCAGAGCCTTATGAGTAAGTCGGCATTCTCAGAACTGGCCTGGGGCAGAGCACAAGAGCGCACCTGGCCCCACTCACCTTGTTGTACACGTTAAACCATTCGGGATGGTGGTCCAGCTTCTCGGCCTGCAGGGCCACTCTGGTCATGAAGCCAAAAGCCTGTATGAGTGAAGCAAGACCCAGCTGAGTGTTCTGAGGAAGAGATGCCCGGGTACCTTTTTATGGCCACTATAAGCTCCAGGTGCAGGACGATAGACTTCCTTCCTCTAGGCACAGTCCCTGTCTCTGGTCCTTTCCCCTGGGAACTTCCTGTCCCAAGGCTTGAGTTAGAGGCTGTCTCTCTAGCAGGAAGGATGTCTGGTTACTAGGATCAGCAGCAAGGTGAAGAGCACAGGTCTTTTGGCTATTACAATGTCACTAGATGTACATCTGTTTGCTACGGATGAACTAAGTCCTCTAAAGATTGTTTCTAAAAGTTCCAGGTGGGGAGGGCCCCGGGCCCATCTTCCCGACACTTCGCAGTTATTCAGGGAAGTGAATTTGCCACTGGCATAGCACACAAATAGACCAGATTAGTGTAGTCAGCTGGGGTTGGCCACCAGGACTTGAAGCAGGGGAACAAGTCCACAGGGCATCCTCCACCCCAGGCTGGCATGCTGTTCCCTCCCCTGACATACCCTGTTGAAATCTTTGAAGTGGAACTGCTTGAAGATGGCATCACGGCCTTCCAGCTCGTTCCACCCCACGGCCCTCAGGTTGGGCAGCAGCTGATCCCTCTCCTCAGCACTCAGCCTGTGGGCTTTGCCAGCCTAGAAGAGGAGAAGCATGCGGGCCTCAGGGCATTTCCTTTTATAGGTCAAAACAGGGCCCCAAGCCCTTAGAGTTTAGCCAGCCTGGGTTGCTGAGATAGTCACGTGACCTGTCAAATCAAAGGGCAGTGGGTCTTTAAGCAGTAGACCAGGAGGTCCGATTTGACTTGTTCATCAGTAGGCTTTCAAGTCTTGGGTTTTATACTCCCTTTGGAGAAAGAAAATCCCAAAGAAAGTGTAATGCCAATCACTGGGACAGAAGCCCCACCAAAGCCTCACAGAGGGCCCCAGACTAAAATCAATGAGGAAATAAAAGTAAAATGCAGCCCATATTGAATGTATTACAACCCAATCTCTCACGAGGTGTCACAAGCATCCAGGCTCTGCCTGTGCTCTAGTGTAACCTGTCCACCCCATGCCTGACAGTAACCTTCAGGTGTACGGAAGAGAAACTGAGGCCTCAAGCAGGGAAGTGACCCTTCTGGTGTTCTCTCGCTCACCCCTCATCAGTGGCGCACAGGCAGGTTCTCAGCATGGTCTCTGCATCTGCAACCCCAGGGCAAGGTCAAGGGTTTCAGGTTTCCAGGTGACTGAGCCACACAGCTGTTGATAGCCACTGGCACCACCTCCCCTATGTCCCCAACTGTAGCCACTGCCCCAGCGGCCAGCCCTAGGCTGTTGGACTTTCTGTCTTCTGGTAGGTTAGGGAGCTGGGCAGTAACTGGTCCAAGGGCATCTGGCAGCCCCAGTGCCCCATGCAGTTTGTCTGCAATGCCAGCTGCCCTCAAAGCAGCTGAAAGTGGTGCAGTTCTGGCTGGGTGTGGACCCTCGGAGGAGTCAAGGAAGCAAGGGTCAGTCCTGTCCTGAGGAGATCTAGGTGGAGGTGAAGGAACAGACCCCAGAGCCTGGACTTCAGGATAGAAGCATGGAAGGGTAATGGGGACACTGCTGAATTTGAAACCAGTCAGGTCTGCGAGAGTATACAGAAGGCAAATTGAGTCTTTAGGAAGCAGCCCACAGACTGGATGCCCTGGGCTGTGTAGCAGGTCTGTGGCACCGACCTCTCTTGCCTTGTGGGTAAGAGGTACAAGAACTTATGCCTTACAGATCCTCAAGGGGTGCCCCGGGGACACTTTAGTGAACAGCATGGTATTAAGCAAATGTCATTTGCATTTGTTAAAACACTAGGAGGCCTGTGAGGGCCTGCAGCATGGGGTAGCTGCCCTGTGAAATCGTCTTTCTCTCCTGACAACCAGAGCTCACTCTAAACTGAGGGCTCAGTCCCTCTCCAGTCCGGAGACCTGGTGGCAGCAGAGATCCACACCACCGCCCAACACACGGGTCTCTTTCCAGAGTGGGCCAGTTCCTGAGGCTGCCTGGTCCTTGTATCTAGGCGACCACCTGTCAGCTAAGGCATCAGAAACACTATTTTCTTGGCTCCGAAAGGGGTGGGTGGGTACAGGTGAACTGGGGGTGCGGGGTGGGCTGCATTTTTCTTTTTAGCGTCTTCTAGAGCTCTCCTGTCCCAAGGCCTGGGGCTGATGGACAAACCCTCTGAGCTCTGGGGTCAGAGGGGGAGGGGCCCTGTTAGCTCAGTAAAGCCGGATCAGGCCCAGACCCGCCCCTGGGGGAGTGTGCGGAGGGGTTATTCATTACCCAACCCCCTGTCTTTGGGGCCTCAGTGTCTCTCCCCAAGCCCTCGTTTTCCAAACTCCATTCTGTCCCTAATTGCTCCCAACCACACCCCGGGGCCAGAACTGTTTGCTGAAGCTTCTCGGCCTAGCGGGCCGCAGCTCAGCCAGGAGGAGGGATCCTGAGCCATCAGCGCCCCGCCGAGGACCACGGTCTCCGTGGAGGCGAAGGGGTAAGGTCTAAAACTAAAGCCCAGGGCAGCGTTCGGGTGCAGAGGGTGGGGTTCCAGCCAGACCCTGCACTCAGGTGCAATCCGGAGGGGGCAGTGACCAGCACCCGGGGAGACTCAGGCTTTCGGCCTCCGGTCCTCC